AGTAAGAGTGCTTTTCCTTGGTAAGACCGATGGACTGGCCAGTCAGTCAAAGTTGTTTCTGTCCATGTATGGCATCATGAAGGATGGTCAACACAGATCTCACTTCGGTGATGGCTGATAAGATCGTGTCTCCTCAGAATGCTTTCCTTGTCTTTCCTTGTCTTTCCTTGTCTTCTCCTCTCTCTCTCCGTTACACAGCAATCTACCCTAGTTCACAAGCTCGCAGTGGTTCGTCTTGCCAAGCTGGCAAACCTGACAAAGCGCACATTTTGCCATTTGGAGAGGAGTTAGGGCAGTGAAATTCCGTTTTTGCACCCCAGCGTCGTTGGCTGTGGCTGTTTGTTGCAGGTATCTGAGGCTAGTGTGTGTGGTGAGAGGCTGTTCTGGTGACGGCAATGCCGGTGAGAGGAGGGAGAGGAGAAGTCGGTCCTCGCGCAATCCGCGGGAGGGAGGAGAGAAGAGAGAACGGAGATCAAGCTCTTGTCGCAAACGCCGTGAGAGAGGCCAAGACACAGCAACAGCCAAGTACACAGCGACAGTCGAAGAGAAGATGAGCTGCTGGTCGAGCGTCTTGGCGGTCCTTGTCCCATGCATGATCACCATCCGCCTCACGCGGATGTACTTCGGCATAGCCGGGCTCCCATCGGTGAGCTTCACCTTCACCACCAAGCGAGGCCTGCTCACACAAGCGCACTAAGTCGACATGGTGTGTGTCTTCATGATGTGCAGGCCACATGTAGTGGCGCGGGCTGTGCGTTTGACCCTGAGCAGTCGCCGCTCGGCCCTTTCGACCCAGCCGGGCCGTCGTGGGAGATCGGCATATACGTCTTCGCCCTTTTTCTGGCGCTGTCAGCAATCCTCCGGCGCTGTGTAAGTGGCCAAACCGGGCACACATACTCGCATCAACGACACACACATGGGCTGCCCTGCCTGTCTGTCTGTGTGCTACGTTTTCTTGTTTGTTCAGGATGACCATGAGACGCGGCAGCTGTCCCATATCCCCATGCGCCCGTCCTTGCTTCATCGCCACCTGGAGCCATTGCCAGAGGTTCCTTATATCCAAGCGCCGTCTGCCCCGCCGCCCGCATACGGTGTCTGGCGGGTCCAGAGCCCTTCTGGTGCTCGCCCGGTTCCCTCCGCCCCGGCTCTCGAGATGCTGCCTGTGTGAAGGAATGGACACGTGATCGAACCGCACGCAGCAGTCGTCTCGAGGCTGAAGGTGCAGGAGCTACGAACGGCACATGCCCGCGTTGGGGAGGGGAGGGAAGGGGGGAGAGGGCGGGTCGGTTTTCGGGTGTGCGTGAGCCCCAACGACCCAGCCATCCATCCCTCTCCGCGCCTGCCTGCAGAAGAGATAGAGTGGTGTAGTCGCCGCAGGCAGCTGTTTGTGGACACAAGAGTGAGTGTACATAGCCAGACGGACGGACATGTCCATAAAAACATACTTACGTCCTTACGTCTGTCTATCTGTCTATCTGTCTTTGCTACTGCTGCATGGTGTGCAGCGAGTGCATCGACCGACGTGTGCATGTGGTGTCAGTGTCGTTTTGGGGGGTGGGTGGTGTGGTGTGGTGTGTGGTGTGGTGTGGTGTTTGTGTCAAGGCAACCCTTGCTAGGACGGACGGACGGATGACTTTGTGCATTCGTGTGAAAGATGACCGAACCAGTTGCACGATGTCCTGTGTGCGACGTCATGAAGCAATGAATCAAGCAATGCCATTCGTCGTGAGTGAATCAGCCAGTGACTGTCAAGCCAATCAAAGGAAGGAAGCGCGTGTCTGGACTTGTCCGTCAGGCCGCCTAGGGTGCTCCCTGAAACCGCTGCTGGCCAGCGGCTCTTTTTTGTGAGGGGCAGCTGCTGAGTGCGTGCGTGACATGATGCCTCGGCGTCACAAGCCCTGCTTCGCGGCCCTGGCGGCCTGCCTCATTGCCGGATCTGCCATCGTCTGTGTGGTGTGCCAGGACTCCCAGCCCGACGACATCGACAGCTTCGTCGACAAGCAAAACATCACTCTCGACCAACTCAACGACGAGTGCTGGGTCAGCCGACGCACACGTGTGTCTTGCCTGTCTGTCTGTCTGCCTGCCTGTCTGTCGGTGCATCGATTGGAGTGTCTGTCTGTGTGTGTGTGTGTGTGACTGGTTTGTGTCATGTCGTGTGTTGTGCAGGTGTGGAAGTCAACGCTGTGGGGTGAGTGAGAAGGCCACGCACAGTCCCCCCGTCAAAAGAGTGTGCTTGTCTGTGCGTATCTGTGTGCCCTTGTGTATGTCTGGTGACACATTCAGGCGCACCCGTGAAGGATTATTCGCCGATTTCGAAGCGCCGAGTGTGGCTGACTGACGGATGTGCCGAGGCATGCCAGAGGCACGAACAGTGCAAAGCATGGAGCTTCGATTGGTCCGCCTGACACGACACCTTTCACTCACACGTGTGCCACCCGCGAGACGCATGCAGACCTCCCTCCTCTCTCATTGTCTCTCTCTCTGTGCTGTGTGTGTTCAGGAAGGGCGAGTGCTTCCTGCTGTCCAATGTGACGACTCTGCTCAAGGCCGGCCAGAGCGACTTGAGAAACTTCGCCTTCGTGGCGCAGGGCAAGAGGGGCAGCAGAGACTGCCGCCCACTCGACGAGAGACGACCGTGCCTCGAACATAATGTCAAGATCTTATGGTCAGCCCGCCAGCCGACCAACCAACCAGACAGACGGAGGGAGGGAGGAGTGCTTGATCGGTGTTTTGTTTTGTTTGTGTGTGTGCAGGTCTGATATCAGTTACAAGTATGCGGATGCCAATCTGACGGTTGAGGAGTGCCGGCAAGCGTGTATCAAGACGGTTGAGTGCCGCTTCTTCACACTCCTCGCCCTCCCCGGCGAAACCAGACAATGGTATCTATGGTCACTCAGGGAGTGAGGGAGGGAGGGAGCCCAGACACGCTTCACACGGCACGGCAGCAGACGCAACATGTGGCTTGTCTGTTTGCCGCCTGTCATCAGCTTCCTCAAAAACGCTGGCGTCAATGACAACAAGGTGAGCACACCCCGGAAGCGCTGCTCTATGCAAAGCTACGGATGTCGGGTGTCTATGTCAGTTGTGTTCCGAGTATGCCACGAGTGGGTTTGCCAACGGTCGTGACTGTGGTTCGCCGACCGAGCCCCTGACGCCATCAGAGGACGACGTCAAGAAGCTTACCAGCCAACAACTGTTCGTCTCCCTGGACCTACTCAAGAAGTCATATCCACCCTTCCCCCTTTTTCAGGGTGACACACCAGCAGATCACCACACACACATGACCCCAGCTGTGGCATCTTGTGGGTGTGGGTGTGGGTGTGGGTGTGTCTGCAGAGGCGTACGAGAAGGTGAATCAGTGCGGGTGCTACCGAGAGTTCACCAAACCGTTCTATCAAGAGATCGAGGACGACAGTGAAGGCGACAGTGAGGGGGAGGGCGACGGGGAAGAGACCAAGAAGCCCAAGACGGCTCCGGGCAGCGCCGTGATGCTGCGGGAGATCCCGACGTACCTCACGCCTCCCCGCCGTTGCCAGCTCTTCTGTCAGGCCGACGACAGATGCCAACACTGGTCCACCAGATGGAACAGGTAGGTAAACAGAGCAGCAAGCAAGATACGGGTGGGGTGGGTAGTGGGCGGATTGGATTGGATTGCTGTCTCAACGTGGGTGTGGTGGGTATGGTGTTGTGTATGCGATGCCTTGGTTTGGTGTTGCAGATGCTTCCTGTGGGCGGATGTGCAGCGGTGGCTGGAGGGGCCGGACATCCCCGACCTGGCGGGGCCCAAACTGTGTCCACGAGACAAACTAGGTCACTACCCAGACAGACAGATAGACAGACAGACAGACAATGCGCACACGGAACACGCCCGCACTTGTCACTTGTCGTTAATGCTGCAGAGGAAGGCCTCCGTTGCGACGCCGATTTTTATCGCGAGCGGTACACTCCGCTGTCGCTGTTCGTGCTGAAGGTGCGGGACATTCGTGTGCCGCTCGGAGGCTCGTGCCCCATCGAGATCAGCTGGGCCTCCCTCTCCTGGATGCTCGCGGCCGCCATCCTGCTGCTGGGGACCTTTGTGGTGGCCGTCATTTCTAAGGTGCATTTTGAGCGCCGGACCAACATCGTCAGGGTCATGATTGCCGCCATCTCCAGTGAGCGAGCAGCAAAGCAACCATTGCGTACAACCGACCGTGTGATGATTGATGTTTGTCTCTATGTGTGTGTGTGTGCAGTGTGGGATTTCCTTACTGACTGCGCGTTTGTTGCCCGGTCTTATGAGTACGCCCAGCTGTGGGTGTTCTGGGTGAGTGAGTGGGACGAGATGAGCCACCTGCACACACCACACCCAGTCAGTGGTCGATTACACAAACACACAGGTAAGTACCACGTGCATGTCATGTGTGTGTGTGTGTGGATCCGTAGGTCGGTATCTTCCACCTGAACCTGGTGATCTTCTCCAACTCGATCGCCCTCATCTACATGACGCGCAGCAGAGACAGACAGGGACACAGCTTCCGTAAGCAACAAACATAACACAACACACCACGTCAAGCATCGCATCCATCAACACGGCCATGCCATGGAACTCTCTCTCTCTCTCTCTGTGTGTGTGTGTGTGTGTGTGTGCACAGGCAAGTGGATGGAGCAGCACCAGCAGTACTCCCACTTGGGCACCCTCCTGGTGTTCGTCTCGTCCTTCCTCCACCTGGGCGTCCTTCACCTGTTCGCCTCGAGGCTGTTCGGCTGGACGCTGTTCTCGCTTGAGGTGCACACCAAGTCGCTGCTGACGATGGAGATGCTCACACTGGCCGAGGACGTGCCGCAAGTCGCTCTGCAGGTCAGTGGGAACGGCAATGCACTCTGTGTGCTGGTTGGGTGTATGTGTCTTGTGTCATGTGCTGTGGTGTGCAGGCGTACGTGCTTCTGAATCAGGGCAGCGGTGGCGGGGGCATCCCCTCGGTGACGCTCGTGTCCATCCTCACCTCGATCTTCCAGATCTTGAAGCTCCTGCTGTTCCTCCTCAAGTACGCCATGCACTCGATCTTCCCCTCGGTGGCCACCAAGAGCGCCTCCAGGACGGCAGCCAGCTCTTTCGCCCCCTCGCTGCGCTACGGCCACAGCAGTGACAGCGAGGATTTTGGGGGCGGCGCGGAGCGCACCGTCAGCAAGACCACCGCCAGCGACATGTCGCTCGTCAAGGCTGCCAACGAACAGCAGGGGGGGCCGTGAGAGAGAGAGAGAGAGAGAGAGTGTGCGTGTGTGTTGTGCTGTGCGTCCGGGAGGATCGTTGTATTGGGGTGTGGTGTGGTGGGGGTGAAAGGCCGTTGGTCGCTGGCCTAGTGGCCAGCTAGCTGTGGGCTCTGGGTGGGTGGCATGATAGGTGGGTGGATGGATGGATGGATGCGTCTGTGCGTGCGTTAGTGCGTGCGTTGGTGAGTTGGTGGTGGGGTGGTCGGTTGGTTCGATTATACGGAGGGTTCATCTGAGAGCGAGCGGCATCCGAGGAGACGATTCTTCCTCTGCTTAAGTCTTCCCCTCTTAACGCTTACTAACTTGCTTGATGGGATGGTCGGTTGGTTGGTTCGTCGGTCGGCTCCTCGGCTGTGCCATCTGTCTGTCAGTTGTGTGTGTGTGGCTCTTCACACGGACAGATGCTGTTGGGAATGTGGGTGGTGCACCGATCGATTGGATGAATGGCTTCCTTCCTTCTTTCTTGCCTGTCGTTCTTGTCGCAAGTGAGTGAGTGAGTGAGTGAGTCCCTCTCTTATGTGTCTATCGTATGGATGTGATGTTCCCTCTTGGCCGAATGAATGAAGTGACTGGCGAGTTTTTGCTGCAGAGAGTGTCGGACGGACAGTTCCTCCCGTGTGCGTCCGTATGTGTGGCGTATGTGTCTTTTGTTCATCTTCGTGTGGCGCGCTAGCGCGGTGTGGATGTCCTCCCTCCCTGTCTCCCTCCCTCCCTCCCTGCCTGCCTCCCTCCCTCCCTGCGTGCCTGCCTCTATGGTGGGTGCATGGTGGGTCTGTCTGTTCATTTGTCTGGCGTGTGTGTGGTTTGTTCGTACCATCCGTCCCCGCCCGCATGTGTGTATGTCTGGATGCATTCCATTGGTGCTTTCGTGCTATGTCATGTCATTTCTCCCTCTCTCGTCATATGTATCGTTTGTCTCTCCTTCGACTTTCAGGAGAGCTCTCTGTCTGTTTGTCTGCCTGTGGATGTATGTGTGCTTGTCTGTCTGTCTGTCTGTGCGCATGAGTGTGTGTCCGTTCGTGTCCTTTATTCTATTCGTGCCCTCTGGTCGTCCACCTCTATGGAGCGCATCTCTATCGGTCTGTCTCCCTCTCCCCCGTGTGTATCTGTATGTGTGTGTACGTTCGTCTCGCTATCGCTGTCCCTGTCGATCAGTATCGCTTCAGATCAAACTTGCATGAATGTGGTGATTGTGGTGATTGTGGTGATTGTTGTAATGCTCCCGGTGTTTAAGGGTGCAGTGTATTTATTGCAATGCCTGTCGTTTTGTGAGAGAAGCAGTGAGTGAGTGCAGTAGAGGGAGGGAGGGAAGGGGAGGGACGGGGGGGAGGAGGGCGAAGTGAGAGCGCCAGTGAGATCAGAACGACGCAAGGAGCGTGCATGTGTGTGTCTTCGTGCATGTGCGTCTCAGTGCTGACATGGGGCGAGTATGCGCCATCGACTACAGAAGTGAACGCATACATCTGCGCAGTGGGAGATCTATGGTGCTCTGACCAGCACTGGGGTCGGCTCGGCTCTCCTCGTGCGATGGTGGGGAACACCCACACACCGCGGGGAGAGACAGCACGTGCAGCACTGGGGAGTACGTCACGGCCCCCACGTCAAGCTCGCCCGCCCCCAGTCTCTCAACCGCAACCAAGCGTTTTGGAGGCTTCCTGTCGGTGAGGGCGCCACAAGACTTCCCGAACACAGCCACCCGGAGATCGAGCAGCGACTCTTCGGCTCCCCCATCCAGCACTGCCCCATCCCATCCCATCACAGCTGAGGGGCGTGCTTCAAGCATGGCAGATGACGCAGGAGGCGAGCCTCCCGAGCACGACACGAGCATCGATGTGGAAGAGGACGCCGCCATCTTCAGGGAGTGGGACGAGGTGGCCGACAGCTATTTGTTGGGAGGCAGAACAGCATCTCGCCTGTCAGAGACCAACCACACCGACGGCGCATTGCCCGCCGCCCAGCAGCCGCATGCCTCTTCCCCCCTGAAGCCGCCGCCACCGGTCGGGGACGCCATGGCCATGAGTGAGGAGTCGACCTTCACGCCGCCAGTCCCGGCGCACAGCATCAACTCGTCACGCCGCGACACAGCCAAGTTTGGCAGTGGGGGGGAATCGCCGCCAGACAGCCCCTGTGACAGGGGCAGCGTGTGTGAGGGAGAGGGGGACCATGGCGACGACGTCCTGGGGTCGATTGGCCCGTATCTCGACACGGCATGCGACCAATTCGCAAGCACCCATCGGAAGGAGCGGATACGAGCGTATCGACAGCACATCATGGAGCAGGTCAACAGTGGAGGCAGCCCATTCGTGTCGGGTGGTGAGTCTGCCACAGGTGGGGCGCCCAGAGACCGAGAGAGAGACAGCAGCTACTACTACCGCTCCCACTCGTCGACCCTCGAGGACAGATTCCCCAGCGTCCCCGCCCCCTTCCCTTTCGCATTCCCGGCCCCCTTCCGCCACGCAATGATGCCTTTTGGTGACGGCATCGGTGGATTCGACGCCATCGAGGATATCAGTGACCAGGCGGTGCTTCAGGATGTCATGGAGCTGCGGCATCTCTACAACAGCACTCACGCGCTGGGATCCACCCTCACCATGGAAGACCAGCAAGACAGCACGGGCGAGTTCAACAGAAGGGTGAGCCTCCTGAGCACCGCGGGTGGTGTGGATGGTCAGCAGCGGCGCCGCGCAAGTCTGAGCGGGGCTGAGTGCTACACGCCATCCTTCCGGCAGTGGTATGCCCCCACCACCTCCCCTCCCCCTCCCCCCAACCTCTCCC